GTGAGATTTTAAATAAAATCAATCAAAATCATCATAAATATTTACATGAATTATGTATTTATATAATAACAGCAGATGATCAAATGATAAAACAATTAAAACAAATGATTGATGATGAAAAACTTTTATTAAATTATACAATTCATCGACAACTTTATAATATTTACTTAAAATGGAAATGACGTTTTCTTTTTTTTTATTGTTATTATTAGTATACTGTAGAAGATTTTAACGTTGAAATAAATAAACTATGCACGAAAGAATGCATTTATTTATTTTAAAATCATACTGAGGGTGTGGGTGAGATTGATGTGCGAATATGCTACCTATACCTGCAATACTTTCATTTCAATGGAAAAAGAGAGGCTCGTTCAACTTGTCGAAATGGTACTGGATAGGAAAGATTAGTATCGACAGTTATATAAAAAATCACTGAAATCTAATTGCAAGATATTCGCTCAAGCTCACTAGCATTGTAAACTGCTGTATCGAAATCCGTCGTTTTATTTTTTCAAATTTTGTTAAATGCAAATCGAGACATAATCTGACCTCGATAAAAAGTTCTCAGATGATCGTCGTACTCGTCGTCATCCTCTGTTTGTTCAAGTCCATTGAAAAGACCACGAATGACGTAGATACTGCGCTATGTGTGTACATGCCGCGCTCAAAAAGAATAAAATTTCGATCAGAACGGAGATACAGATTCCTGAAGCCATCGAAAGCGTTAATTATATTTTGCTTCTCACAATATGTTCGAAAATGGTGTCTATGTAGCTGTTCTAGTGCGGATTGTTCATCTTCGTGAGTATATAAATAATATTCACCTAATATATTTTTGTACGGTTCAATAATCAAATGAACTTACCAAACTGAGCGAATTTGTTTGACTTTGTCAACACGGAAGAGTGAACGTAAAGAAAATATATGTTTTTCCTCTTCAATGCCTATCTCCGGCAAAGATTTTAGCAACAGATTTATCTCGACTTGCCGACTAAAATGATTTAATACAGAAAGCACATCCAATATTATTTTTCCACTGCTCAAGTTCCTCAATGTCGACAAACTGATCGCGATAGAAGCAACGACAATTAGATGAATTTTTATGTTGCTGTTGTTGATTACGAAGGTGCGAATATAAATCGCAAATAACGGTTCGGCAAGCATATATATAGAGGAAAGATGGAGAAGAATATTTTGAAAAAAAATATTATAAGATCAGGCGAACGTTATTTCAAAGCTTTTTTCTAATGAATAGGAAATATGTCTAAAAAGTTCGCTGGTAGTAGTTTTAATGCAGAATATCGAATTGTATGTTATACTTTAGGAGAAATGTATGAATGACGAAAAGACTTCAATAATACAGCAAAGTTTTGTTCGCTAAACAAAATCCACAAAATGTAACCAATATGTTATTATATAATCTACATTTTTTCTCTGCTTTTATTTCTCAAAAGTTGTTTTTTTCAAAAATCTTATTCAAAGAAAAGTTTTCGCAGGGTATGGATGTTCTTCTTATTCTTACTCACACATCTACTCTCATCCACCACACCCACATTCAAACTAAACAAAAAATAAGAACAAACTTATGTTAAATGCAAAAATATATATTGTGTTCATCATAGTTCCCATCACGATTCAATTTTTTTATATAAAGATTGATATCTAAAAAGTATAAAAATTCACTTTTGAACTCGTGCTTGATATCCATATTGAGAGCAGTAAAAAAAGGCAATGTTTGAAAACGAATTTCTAACTTGAATACACATAGATTAGGACAACATGGTAAGAAAAATTCCAGAAATGTACTTGGCAATTCATTTTCCTCATAGTTATCTTCTCCTAAACTGAGTTTTGTCAGTAATGGAAGGCCCATTTGAATTCGGCCACGTATTCGAGTAGATAATGTTGTTGCATTCTTTTCTGATGGATACTCGTGGAGTATCGCAGAAAAAGAACGAAGATTAATACATTGATTTAATAGTTGAATAGCAAGATGAAAAGGAAGTTTAGTCACGTATAGGTGACGGAGCAATGGAAAATGAAATGTACATACATTTTTGGTCATTTGCACTCTATGTTCGAGCACAGTCCATTGTATATGTGAATATTCAAGGAAAGGACAATGTTGTTGAAAGATAGTCTTCGTGAACTCATCTGTACATCTGCAATTGTCATCAAAAAATGTATTAATAATCAATGAAACAAGTCTTGCAAATGAACTAAACGATTCATTTTGTGAATGATTGGATATTAATTAAAAATGTTGAATTTACTTTTGAATAAGTCGAACGTACTGAAAAGTTCCAATACACATAAGTAGGTGATTGATTCGTTTATTTAAACCATAAAATATCGAAAAAAGACTGATCCAATCAAGATAATCAAATATTTCAAGCCAGATTTCATTCGCTAATTCTTCAATGTACAATGGTATTGTATCCGACATTCTACCAAATATCGGCAAAAAATGAATCATTCATGTTTTAATATAGAAAGAGAACGGGGAAAAAACCGATGTGGAATAAATCTATTGGAATCTATACAGTGAATCCAGTTATAAGTACTTTACAATAGTGAAGATGAAAAAGTACACGGAAAAAAATGCTTTATCAGTTGTCATAGCACAGCATGCATCTTGATGATGTGGGTGTGGGTGTTGTTTGTGCTATACTCTTTCCCACACCCACACCCTCAATAAATACAAACTTACGCAATGTCTTAATGAAAAGAATTGATCTCGAACAAAATTCGGAATTGATGACTAAACGAGAACTATGTTCATTGAAAAGAACTGTAGTTTCTTCAACTTTTTACAAATACTCTCTAGAGTAATCACTCTACTAACGTAAAGGATTTTCTTCTGTGCCAAATTTTTTTACATAAGAGAAGTTCCATTGTACTTCTATCGTGTAAAACGCGATTATTCTTTTTTTTTTTATTCATTTATTGGTATTATGATTATCTCTAAATGCCAATAGGCGGTTTTTTTTCTTTGCATAACTATCATGTAGAACACATTACAGTAGGAAATATCCAATATAGCTAGTAATATACATATTGGTATATTCTCTCTGATGATGTTAAAACATTCCTTGCGTCCTTCTGTCATATATACATAAGGTTATTTCCTTTCCCCTCATATATGTGTTGTATCCTTCTCGTTCTCTTTCTCTCTTCTTCTTGTTCTCTCTATCGTTCTTGTTCTTGTTGTTCTACAATAAACATTAAATTCCCGGTTCTATACAATCTCACAATTACTCGATGACTCATTTTTTCGATTCAAATAATGGTATTTTTATTATCTCTAAATACCACTAGCAGATTCTTTTTCTTTGTGTTCTTGTACACCAGTGAAATAAGATACTTAGGAAGTACATAAAGGAAATGAATCACAATATTTTAAACTTTGTTTTTTTATCCCACGGTAAGTTGGAAAGATACATAGGCATCGACGAGATATGAGGTGAAGATGAGCCAGTAATATAAGATTCGTGCGTACAACTAATGCCAAAGTAGGAATATTCCCATAAAAATCATTTCGATCATAAAATGTCGTTTGACGAATACAACGGAAGTAGTTACATTAACACTATAAAATATCATTGCATTGTAGTTTAGTTTCATTCTGCCATGTCGCTCTCTAAGCTTTTGCTAGTCCTCATTTTCGTCGGTTGTACTTGCTCTGCTGTCCATAAAGAAGTTCTTAATGGATATGAAAGTTTTATGTATCTTAAAAAATATGGCTACACCATCTTGAAAGTGTGAGTAGGTAGGTGTGGGTGTTGGTATTATATTAATTATATACTCACACCCACGCTCTTTTATTTTCCTCCTGCTTAATTGTGAAAAGACAGGATTGTATTGCCGATACAACTAGCTTCAGAGTATCACTTTAAAAATAACCAGTTTCGGAAGTGACAAGACGACTGCGTTCCCTAATTTAGTCATTTCTACTTTTAGATGGCAGCAATTGGTGAAGAGGAGATGGAATTAAGTCAGCGTTTATTGGATGATCAAAAGAAAAATCAAATTGAAAAATATTTCAGTTTGGTAAATAGTGTCAAAACAATAAGTCGAATGGGTGCTTATGGCATGGTAGATTTACACTTTGTTAGTTGTTATGGACAAAAAGAAATTATTCAATTCGTATTCACAAATAGTGCATTCATGTCACTAGAAGGTGTTTCATCTGAATTAGTACCATATGATGAATCGAACAAAGATGCAATTAAAACTTTAGTCTTAAAAACTTGCAATTTGCATGCTTTTGAAGAAGATATGCCAGATAACGATTATATTGATTGGTCATTAAATGGTGAGAACTTAGTAAAAAAAGCTAAAGAATTTCGTAAACAAATTGATTTATATAAAACGTATGATAATCAACATCATTTAATAACAAAAATATTAATTGAAATAATTGAATATTATTTAAACGATTATTTATTTGAAAAAGAACATTTTTCTTTAGATCACATACGAGAGATCCAGAGTTGTTTTGAAAAAGCCATCGAAGAACAAAATTATTTAATATATTTTATTAAAGCATATACATTAACAAATAATTTTCATGGTGTTTTAAACAAACATCTTGCATTATATATATTACATTATTTTGATACACCGTCCTCTTCTTCTTTGCGAACAAAATATCGTTTAATCAATTGTTTAGTATATATTGTTACTTTAGTAATTAATCATCCAGATATACATAAGTATAAATATAATGGTATCACATATCGTGGCGTATTAATGAACAGAAATGATTTAAAATACTATACCATTGGTAATTATATATTAAATCGATCATTTGTATCAACATCAAAAAAACGTTCGGTTGCTCAGGCGTTTGCCGGTGATGAAAGTTTGGTAGGAATATCAGACCAACATCAGTCAACAGAAGTACCTGTTTTAATGAAATACACTATTACACAAAATCATTCAGCTATTGATATTGCAGCCATATCAACAATACAAGATGAAGAGGAAATTTTAATATTACCATTTTCAGTATTTAAAGTTATAGATAAAATTGAAAGTTACTCAAATATGTCTTTGCCAGTGTTAGTTGAAATTGATTTAGAAGAATGTGAAGATAATGAAGAAATAAACAATCAAAAACAGAAAAGTGAGTAGCATCATTGCGAGATATCTCCATGATTGATATACATAACTCTCTACTATAAAGAATCCTGTTACTTATAGAAATGCTATCGATCCACAATTCTTTTTATAAACGGTGTTTTCTAGTTAATCTTGGAAATCGTCCGAAGACTTAGCGACCTTATAAATATAGAAGACATTAGTTTGTAAAAAAGGGTGAGAGTGTAGGTATTAGTGCTCCTTTTATTTAACACTCACATCCAACTCCACCATGAATGTCTCTGGTTGAGGTATCTTTTTATTTTAACGATTAGATTCCATCAGATGCTTGGTGCTTATAAACATTTTCTTATTCATTATTTAATGTAAGCGCAAGTGATGGTACAAATCAGACGTTAGTGGGTTCAAGGCATCTATGTTTCACTGGATGCCGTAAATGAATCACAGAATAATTCACAAAACTGAATTCCAAAATAATTCAAAACTTCTATGAATTATATGATCATATGAATATATAAATATATATTATGAATATAACTAAAATACATAATTACATTATATCGAAGATTTGGATTATTTTTTAATTCATTTCCGGCATGAAGCCCTATGCCTTCTTTCCGTCGGGACCATTATACAGATGCTCATAAAAGAGTTTCAGGCAGGTCGGTCAAAAATATTCTTCATTCAGAGATACTTATTTGAAAATTTTATGATTGTTGAAGAGAAAAGATACGAGACAATGACATTTTATTTCCTCAAATGCATCATGTTTTCTTAACAAGTTTTTTGTTGAAACTAACTTAGTGATCGGATTTCGAAAGAAAGGCTCCGCAGAGAACAGGATATCGAGAAAGTTAACATATAGATATTTGACGCTAATATCATACAAACATTACCAATTTTAATTGATAAGTACTGTTTCACTATGCATGAGAATTCTTTAGCATTCACACTGAAATTTTGAATTCGAGTAGCAGCTGCACTTAGTTTTGAAAAAGCAGTACATATTTATTATTATTATTCTGATACTATATTTTCCTTTCAAGACTGACAAAAACAATCAATTTAGAGAGATATATTAAATGTATTTTTATTCTTTAGATAAACCAGTATCCAGTCGTCGACAAAGATCAAAACGTTTTTATGTTAGTTTTGGACTACGTATTATACTCAGCTTGATTGTTGTGGGCCTCATTGTAGGATTCATGATAAAATTCGGTCCTATGGCATGGGAAGAAATCAATGAAATGCGTATGTCAGGAGAGAAAAAAAACAGTGAGTCAATTATTAATCTTTCTGGGTCCAAATATAACTGATGAAATGGCACGCAGAACGAAAAAAAATCTTTGTGTTCTTTCATCATCTTAAACAACAAACATAGTATATGTTCAAAAAAAGTAATACTGCGTATCGCTATGACTGATGTATCCAGACTTCTATCACATATGATTGTGTCAGCTGAACACAAGAAAACATCGAGTTTGAAAGAGTAAAATAATTTTAAGCAAAAATATATTTTAAAATGAGTAACGCGGTGCGATCGCCGCTGATCCTCTACTGAAAGGATATGGTGAAATCGCTCATGTCTCTTGAAATGAGAAAAAAATTGTTTTAATTCATGAGCTCAATCATATCTTCAGGGTGTGTGGATGTTGTTAGAAAGAGCCAACCACACCCACCCTGAATTAAACAGTAAATGTCATGTTGACAATTCATTAGATAAGATTTTTGAGCCGTAACTTTCTTCATCTAGCTTTTCAGATAAAGGGAGAGAAAAAACTGACAAAATATCATTAGATTTCAAGCTAACACGAACAACAGCGAATGAATGAGAGAATTGTGACCCAACGACGGTGCGATGCTAGCTACGTATGATTTTTATATCGGACTCTTCTAAAAATTGTGTTGTTATAAAAAAATCTATGCAAGTGATCATATGTTTAAAATCAATATTATAGTTTATCGTTAGATCAGTTCTATTGAAAATAACGCTTTTGTATAATAATCACGATACGAAATAGTGAAACAACTACGAAGAGTATGTGTTTATCTATTTGACTAGAGGTATTCAAGACTACTCAATCACTGATGAATACTTTATCGAGAATGCTATTATCCAACGATAATTAACACATTTGACATTTGTTTTTTCTCGCTATTCGTCTGCAGCTATTCTATTTGCGATGAAAACTACATTTTTCTTCTGTTTTTTAGTAACACCATTTCGTAGCACAAACATCACTCTTACTCTGCACGCAAAATGGTCACCAAATGGCATCATTGTGGCAGGTGGGGGGAATATAGGTAATAAGACGAACCAACTTTACTGGCCGCAGGGATTATATATCGATGAAAACCAAACGATGTATGTTGCTGATCTCGGGAATGATCGTATAGTGTCTTGGCGACTAGGAGATACCGATGGCCAAGTCGTAGTTGGAGGAAATGAGCGAAAAAATCTACTGATTCAGTTAAAGAATCCAGCTGATGTGATCGTTGATCGAAAGAACAATAATCTTATCTTCTGCGACGAAAGAAACAAACAAGTAGTACGCTGGCCTCGTCACAGTGGAGTGCAAGGAGAAGTTCTCGTCTCCAATATCGCCTGTAAAGGTTTGACAATGGACAGTGAAGGATCTCTTTACGTCGCTGATACGAAAAATCATGAAGTTCGACGATGGCGATTGGGTGATTCACAAGGAAAACGAGTGGCTGGTGGAAATCGACACGGTAAAGGAACTGATCAACTTGATACTCCATCACATTTGTTCGTCGATCGCAATGGCTCTATCTATGTATCAGATCGTGATAATCATCGTGTTATGAAGTGGGCGAAAGGCGCCAAAAAAGGTCAGCAGGTTGCTGGTGATCAAACATCAGGGAATAGTAATAAACAACTGATCACTCCAGAAGGGGTAGTCGTCGATGAGATCGGCACTGTTTATGTGGCAGACTACGGAAATAACCGAATCATGCGTTGGCCTCAAAATGCCGTAGAGGGCAGTGTAGTCGTCGGCAATAATGGTGTAGGATCGGCATTGAATCAGTTAAATGGCCCTATCGGTTTGACCTTTGATCGTTACGGTCATATATATGTCGCCGATGCAAGCAACAACCGTGTCCTAAAATTCGAACTGATCTCCCCTTAATTTTTTTTTGTCTCTTGAAGTAGTGAAATAAAACGAAGGGGTGGGTGTGGGTGCAAGTGTAATAAAGAATACTCACACCCTCACCCACACCCTATAAACGTTTGTGTTGTTCATCAATACTTACTTGCAACGGTACCCATCGATGCTTTCCATACTACAATAAAGGTGAACACAACGAAACCTCTCTAAAATGGGCACTAACGGAACTGTTTGAAACGCGTTCATTAAAGGAGGTGTTCATTTCAAGAATTTTTCACCGTGGACGAAGTTTATATGTGTATACAACGCACATTGAAGAGGGTGGGTGTAAGTGTAGGTGCAGGTATTGAGAGACTGATATCAATAGAGTCACGCCTACACCCGCTCTTTTAGCGACTCGATTAACAGGTAAATCTTTCAATTGATGTTGAGTCAGAAATTTACCATCTCTAAGTGGACAAATAAATCGATATTCTGCATCACTATCATCACTGCTAATACTACTATCGTCATCATCATCATTTTTTGTACGATGATTTGCTAGTTGGGTGATACATGCAAAACAGAATGTATGTGAACATGGAAGAAGACGTGGATCATTGTAATAATCAAGACAAATCGGACATTTAACTAACTCCGATAAACTTGTTACAGGTATGTTGGAAGTTGCCATCGCGCACACACGCACAACTGGTGAAATTTTTTTAACTGTCTACTTGGTGAGTTTTTTTCTTCCTTTCTCTCCATGACCACATTTTCTATGCGAAAAACATACGAATCGAATTATTTTACAAACAAAAAGCGATTGTAGCACTACATTTGCTCATTATAACATTAGCTTTCAAAACTATAGATATCTGAAAGTTAATGTTTGTGTTATGAAGTATGATAAGTAATACCACTACAAATTCGACCATCACCATTCAAATCAATATGTGTTGCTTGCTCGATTTTACTCATTGGACCAGGTCCTCCAATTCATCCATCTTTATTTATATCTAAACCTACTTGTTCTTCAATTTTATCCGTAATAAAATCTATTAATATACATTAATATGCTAGAAAAGAATAATATTTTTTACATAAACACATTATAATTTCTTTTTCAATAGATCTATTTTTCTATCTTTGTTAAGTCATGTCCTCTATAAATAATATATTTTCATTGGTTTATATAAAACCACTCGTATAAAAGAATACTATAATAGATAAAATAAAAATCGTAAGTGATTTTATTTTTTCTATTTTGAAGATAATGAAATAACGATAGAATAATAATTGTATTTCACATCATATAGAAATAGAAATGAATGTCATTTTTATTATTATTATTATTAACAGTGATATCGAGGGTTTCAGTTGATAAGAATTGTTGTGAAGGTAGGTAAAAATCCATTATTCTTTTACCTTTTGTTTTCTAATGTAAGTAGAATCAGATAAGCACTTTATGATGAAAAATAACATATTTTTTTATAATTCATTTGATTTTGAGTATATTCTAGCATGACATCATATCCAATAATTGAGAATGTGACTTTATCTTATTCAAATATTACGAATGAAATTTATCCTTTAATTAAATCAATTCGATCCGATTGGACATCCTCAAATACTCGTTTGGTTACATTTACTGAAGGTCTTACAAATATAATCTTAGGTATTTTTGATAATCGAACACCAGATGATGATTCAAATGCATTAATTATTAAAATCTATGGTATTCAAACAGAATTATTTATTGATCGACAAGCCGAAATCAATGCAATGATTAAATTTCATAAATATGGTGTTTTTTCTCAACGTGTTCTTATACAATTTAATAATGGAATTATATATGAATTTGCATCTGGTAAGACATGTTCAAGAGACGATGTACGTGAAGAAAATATTTCAAAATTAATTGCAATAAAATTAGCTGAAATTCATAATATACCTGTTGACGAAACTGAACAACCATATATAATATTAATTATATGTCAATTTTTAAAATTAGTAGATAAAAATTCATTTGATTTAACATCAATTCTATCTGATATAGATATAATAGAAGAACGTATTTTACCTCGACTTGTTCAGAATCCTAAGCATGGTAAAGATCTTGTTCTATGTCATAATGATCTTCTTGTTAAAAATATTGTTTATAATGATAAAAATCAAACAATATCATTTATTGATTTTGAATATACACATTTAAATTATGCTTTATTTGATATTGCAAATCATTTTGTTGAATATGCTGGTGTTGAAAATGCAGATTTTAGTATATATCCATGTTATGATGAACAAAAACGATGGTTAAAAATTTATTTTCAAACTCGTCAATTGGATCAACAAATAATTGATGATGATTTATGTCGACTTATTGAGAAATTTTCTGCGTTAGTAAATTTAACATGGGGACTTTGGGCATTAGTACAAGCAAAAGTATCACCTATTGATTTTGATTATGTTAATTATGCTAAAATGAGATTTGATTGTTATCATAAGTTACGATCACTTCTTTTTGAAAATGCATAAAATTATTTTATTTTTCAAAATAAAACAATAAAAATATAGAGAAGAATTAAAAATTGTTGTTATTACCAGTGAAAATAAATCTATAATGACTTGAAAGCAATAGTTAATGATATAGTTTATGTATTGAATCACGTAGTGCTTTTCGAAAAATACTTCCACCGCATAATGTGTAAATATAAAATGGCATTCCGTTAGTTACATAAGTTAATAAAAAGAATAGATTAAAAATAAAATTATTAATTGCAACATTCAATGATGATTCTATTTCATATTGTGTAATGTGACTGTAAAGATTTTGAATTGCTTGTGGAAGAGAAAATAATGTTAATAAAATCACTTGTATAAGTAACATCAAAAGTAGATATCGATCGGATTTTTTCAATTTTGGTGAATGCCCATTAGCACTGACTGTTTGATTAATCCCTGTTTTAATTACAGGCTGAATTTGACGAAGAGTAACGTTACGTATGTTTAAAATAGTTAGAATTCCGAAAATAAGCATCATCATTGAAGGAATTAAAACAACAATAGAAATAAATTCTAAATCAATTAATAATCGACACCAAGCATTTCTTCCATAACATTCAAGTGGACTATTGGTTAAATTAGCTTCATAACAATAGAATAGTTGAACATATGCAATACTTGATAAAACTATAGCAGCAATAATACTTCGTTGAGCATTTTTCAGTGTACTCATTTGACGATAATGTGCATGAACAGATGATGATAACCATCGATCACAAGTAGCTAACATAATCAACCATGAAGCAACTGTTCTTGAATTAAATAAAACATATACACGAACTTTACAAAGCCAATTAACAGTATTTGTTAGATCTGCTGACCAACCAGATAATAAACGAACCAGAACACCAGAAATAAGAGTAATAATACTGGCAATAGATGAAGTAAGAAAGAAGAAGACACATGGATTTGAGCGAAGAGGTCTTTGTGATAGCGCAAGACAATTTAGAATATTTCCAATAGTACCAAATAGAAGAATAGCAATAGATAAATAACGATCAAGATCAGATGAAAGTTGATTTACATAATTAATGAAAGTTATATTTAATGACATTGTTGTTTTTATACTATCTAACAGATCCAGATAATACTTAGTTTACTTTTTATGTTTGCTAGTACTTTTATTTTGCAAAAGATTTTCTCTCATATTTTCAATTAAATAAACATTAAATAATACAAAAGGATTATAAAGGCTTACTTAAATTTTGTAATTACTAAGGATATGAAGAAACAAAGCGAGACACGTTTTAATTATAAAGAGTGTTTCGGAAGTTCTGAAAGGGAAGTGAAAATTTTGCGTTTTCCTGTTTATTGAGAGCCAATCTTAAAACTTTGAGAGCACTGTTGTATAAAATGGTGAATTTTCTAACTAAACAAGAAAATTTGTGATGTCTCTGGCTTTCCATAAATGGTTCGTAGAACATATTCTGTGTTAATCCCTCATATATACCAATCATCGAGACATGCTCAAAAAATATATGTGATCAAAAGAGAAACTTTCCAGTCTGATATATTTAATTAAAACGCCCTAGCGAGTTTCTAATCAATGAAAGTACTGAAGATCTTATAAAACCAAATTTTATTGACAAAAAGAATAATTCATCTTCGTCGACCAGTAAGTTTATGAATGCAACCCTGTACTGAATCACGTAGTGCTTTTCGAAAAATACTTCCACCGCATAATGTGTAAATATAAAATGGCATTCCATTGGTTACATAAGTCAGCAGTAAAAATAGATTCAAAATGAAATTATTAATTGCAACATTCAATGGCGATTCCGTTTGATATAGTGTAATGTTATTATAAAGATTCAGAATTGCTTGCGGAAGAGAAAATAATGTCAATAAAATTACTTGTATAAATAACATCAAAAGTAGATATCGATCGGATTTTTTCAATCGTTGTGAATGTTCATTGTTATTTATTGTCTGAACGTTTCCTATTTTAATTGCAGGATGGTGCGGACGAGGAGTAGTTTTATGTATATTTAAGATAGTTAGAATTCCAAAAATAAACATCATTATCGAAGGAATTAAAACAGTAATAGAAACAAATTCTGAATTAATTAATAATCGACACCAAGTATTTTTTCCATTACATTGAAGTGGAGCATTAGTTAAATTAGCTTCATAACAATAAAATATTTGAGCATATGCAATACTTGATAAAAATATTGCAGCAATGATACCTCGTTGAGCATTTTTCAATGTACTCATTTGACGATAATGTGCATGAACAGATGATGATAACCATCGATCACAAGTAGCTAACATAATCAACCATGAAGCAACTGTTCTTGAATTAAATAAAACATATACACGAACTTTACAAAGCCAATTTATAGTATTTGTTAGATCTGCTGACTAACCAGATAATAAACGAACCAAAACACCAGAGATGAGAGTAATAATACTAGCAATGGAAGAAGCAAGAAAGTATAAAACACATGGATTTGAACGAAGAGGTCTTTGTGATA